ACCCCACCTCACACACACACAGGAGGAATGCAGTGAGAGAGCATCCACTGCAACACAACCCAAAATCTCACCTGACACACACACACAGGAGGAGCGCAGTGAGAGAGCATCCACTGCAACACAACCCACAATCCCACCTCACACACACAGGAGAAGCATTGAGAGCACATCCACTGAACTGCGAGACTAGTTACAACATATCTGCAGGAGCTAGAAGCTGGTGGCAGGAGGGCTACCATGTTGGAGCAGGGTGTCCCTGCCCTGACCCGTTCCGTACCCACGCAGTGCACGATGATGGCGTCCTCCCGGGCGGCCTCAGGGTGAGTCACGTCCCCCAGCACGTAGCGAAGCCCCGTGTGCTCCGAGTCTGTGGAGGCCAGGCTCACATTGTCTTCCTCCCCGCCCTCCTCTTCCTCGCTGTCCTCCGAGGGCACGCACAGAGAACGGTACCCTCTGGACTCCCACCATGCCATCCTGGACGTGGGCACAAAGCACAGGAACTGAAGACAGGTGAACTCAGAGGGGACACGGCAGACAAGGCCCCTGTCATCTCCAGCGCATGTCAAGATGGTATCAAACCTGCTCAACAAGTTAGAGGTGTACCTGCATATTTATCTTTCTGGATCGTCCCCGAACCAACTTGGGAGAGATCCAAGACTTTTTTGGAAATTTGGAATTAACATTTTTTACTCTAAACCCGCTCAGTTTGTAATTGTAAATTGTTTTTAGGACTCGGCTCTTCATCTTTAGTTATACACCTGAACAGATACAAAGGAAGTAGTTTTCAGTGTGTGTCAGTGTATCAGCATTTAGCAGACGTTTCACAGAAAGCCTTCTGAAGTTTATTGAAATTAAGCTGCAAATCAGTCACAATAAAGAGGGGAATATAATATAATTTAACACTATGGTGGGTATGAGAGTTATGTACTGCGTGACCAAAATTATTAATACCGATGGAGAAATGCTGGAACCTAGGATGTAACCTTGAGGAACTGCCTCAGTGAACAGAAGAGGTTGTGAAATCTCTCAGATTTTACACACTGCACGATTACAAACCATCATTTCTGAGTTTATATCAAGACCAGTACAGCACAACTCTTTCAGAAGAGTGGTGAATCCACATGATTAAAGCTTAAGATAAACCTGTAGAGTAAGAACCACAAGTAGGTTTTTGCTGAGAGCCATTTATCACTGAGAACATTTAAAGCTGCTGTAATAATCCATTCCGAGAACAGCCCTGAAAACCAAACAGCAGACCAGACAGAATATAATTACTGTCTACAAAACAACACAACTGGCCCTTTTTTCCATGATTTAGGCAAGGAAATATGATTATACTGTAGGTATAGAGCAGAGTCTGATACACCACTCCCTTTCAGATTTAAGAAAGGCTTCCATTGTGCTGTGACTTCAGAAGAAGGCAGCCTTACTTCTTCTTGTGCTGCTGCTCCTCCCTCTGCTGTTGCCTCTCCTCCCGCAGCTTGGCCCTCTTGGCCGCGGCCTCCTTCCTCCTCTGCCGCCTCTGCTCCAGCTCTTCCTCGCTCAGCACCCTCTTCCTGCGGAGCGGAGCCCCCAGGGGGCCGGACAGGAGGACCTGCAGGTTGGCAGTGGACTCAAGAGACGCACGGAACAGCCAGGGTTGCCGGGCAACGTCTCTTGGACTTCTCTAACCTCTGGGATCACAAAACAAAGGGGTACGCAAGTCTAGCAGGGGCCCTGACCTCTGACGTTCTTCTGGGTGTGTGAAAGCCCCTGAAAGTATTACCACAGACACTCTCCGTGCCTCATACAGGGAGAAGAGCTTCTCTTTCTGTTTAGCAGTCCTGACCGCTACGTTCTACATCACGCGCGATCTGCCTCGTGCTCTCCAAAGGAGCGAGTGAGAGGGCCAAGCGTCTTACACTGGATTTGTTCCGGAGAGCTCGTCCTTCTGTCCCTGCCTTCTCCGTCAGAGCCCTCTGCAGGTCCAGCAGCTGCTCAAAGCTCCTCTGGTCCTCTGCGCTGGGGTCCTTGGAGTAGTCCTTGCCTTCATATAGATACATGTGTGCTGGAAAGAGGAACAGTAGTAGTCAAAGAAGCAGCGCAAAAACCACTGTTTTTTGCTTCCCTACAACTAAAATGTAACGTGTCTGCTGCAGTGGAGAGTGTGATAGGTTGACAAATCAGAACACAGAGCGTGCGAACTCTTGCTGTGGTTATTTTGTACATCTCATGTAGCGTCACGTTTACAGAATAGCAGCAGTACTGCAGAGGCAAATCAGTACTTTTAAACCTGCAGGCATGGAGAGCCATGCCAAATACTTTAGATTTCTTCAAACTACCTCCAAGCCTCTGGCATTACCTTCATTCTTGTTGGACTGTCTGTGTTGGGTGCCGCAGATGGCACTTCTGATTGCATCTGCTCTGTTTCGGGCTCTGTGTTGTGTTGCTTCCTTGCTAGGGTTGCTTATTTCAGTAGAGCACAGCGCCTCCGTACAACCAGCAGCACAGCCGAAAACACACAAAAATGAAACCATTTCTTTAACACCTACTCTGGCCCTCGATATCGGAGCTCTCTTCCTCACGAAGGAGGGCAGGATCCTCGTCTGTGACCCACCGGCCCTGCTGGGTTTGTCCCAGGATCATCCCCAGGTCCACGTCCTGCATGGAGCTCTCCTCCGACGAGAGCAGCTTGTCCACTCCAAACTTGAGGATCTCGCTCAGCTGACGGGGACAGATCCGCCCGCAGGACGCAGGAAGAAAGAGCACACAGGTCACTGACACATGCTACTCCAGTCTGACTTGCTGCTGAGCACTCAGGCTGCTCAGAAAACAAGGAGGAATTTCAACCGAAACAAAAAAAACAAAACTACTCATGCCTGGCTTATGAATTACTCATATAAAACCTGTTTCTCTGCACATACGATGTGAACTGCACAACATTAAAAAAAAAATGCATATTAACAAACATATTTATTTATAACTTCATCCAGTTTGGACTGCAACACATAAATGCAGTTCAAACACTGTGAGGTGTTACATGTGCATGACGTTCCCAATTTTAGAAGACTGTTTTTAAAACTCCTGCCTGAAGAGAGAGCTCCTGAGGGTTCGCTCACTTCCAGGGCTGCGCTCAGAGAGCACTGTTACCTGGAGACCTGCTGAGGCGGCTTCTGCCTGCTCCAGCAGAGAGAACTGCCCTCCCTCGATCACCGTGCTGGTGAGCTGCAGCTTAGAGGCGGCGCGCCGGTACACAATCTCCTCCACTGTGTCCCTCCCAAGCAGGCGGATTATTTTCACCGGCCTGCCAAAGTCCAGAGGAAAACATACGAGAGAATGAGACTACATACAGTATAATCACACTGCTAAGCGCTATACTAAAGAGACACTTTACCAAAAAAGTTGTAGGAGTGTGGAACAAGCTACTAAGGTATGTTGTCAAAACTGATACCCAGGTTTCTTTTAAGATTGAGATCTGTATGTAATGAACTACTATCAAGCAGACTTGCTTGAAAAAATGTGCTCCTGCTTGTAACTCTTCTTATGTTTCAGTTTGCCATCTTCAAGAACCAACTGGACTAAAGCTTCATAGAGTCATGCTGCAATATAATAAGCATTTATATGAAGCATACACAATAAGAAAATTGAATATTCACTAAGATTTTCTTTTAATGCCATTAATTTGACCCATCGGGGGATTTGGAGCCTATCCCAGCAAGCAACAGGCACAAGGCAGGGAATACCCTGGACAGCACACGCAGACACAAACCCTGCACTGAGTGGCATTACGCGGGCATGTCCAGGAATGGAGGCGGAGCCCTGGATTAAGGGCGCCGTGTTGCCTTAACAACCACAGCTGTCCCGGACACGCCACAGCTGTGGGGGCCCTTTAAGACACACTGAGCACCTTCCCGGAGGAACGAGCAAACCCCCGCAAGGGGAGAGTACATTCCAGCGACGTTCCTGAAGGGGGATTGTGATGCGAGCGTAAGGCCCTCGTTTTTGAGTCATTTTCTTTTCTCCTGTCCCGCTGTATGAGATTGACTTTAAAGCTGTTTTAAAGCTGTTTAAACCTGTCCCGCTGTGAGAATTCACCGGGGCAGGTTGAGTTGTCTTTTGGGACTTGCTCTCCTTTTCTTCCAGTCTGGACCCCAATGTATAGGGACAGTCCAGTCTGGTTGCTTTTTCTTTTTTCCTTTTTTTTTTGCCAGGCTCATGCCAGTGCCTCCTCTCCCTCCTGCACTGCTACAACTGCAAAGCACCAATGCCAACCGCCGCGCCACCATGCCACCCGTTTGAAAGTTCAGTGGCAAGGAAATGGAAACACACCTACTTCCCAGACAAGACGAGAGACGGAGACGAAGGAGGAAATGAGGGAAGCAAGCAGAGTTTGTTGCTGGTACCTTGTCTGTCCAATCCTGTGGGCACGGGCCGCAGCCTGCAGGTCATTCTGGGGGTTGAAGTCGCTGTCCACAAAGATCACCGTGTCCGCGGCTGTCAGGTTCATCCCCACTCCCCCTGGGGAAAACCCTCACTTTTAGCCCAGTCTTGGGAAAAATCTCTACCCCTCCCCCCCTTCCCAGGAGTGGTTTAGTTGTTCATTTCTACTGAGCAAAGTCAATGTTCCACTCATTCCAGCTCAACTAAACACCAAAAGACAGGAAGAAGAAAAACAGATTCATTTCCACAACTACCACCTTTTGCCATTCCTACTTTCAGTTTAAAACATTTTGCAGAATACTTCACAGTGCAAATAAAGACAACAACCATGAACAAAGAGTGTCTTGGGGGGGCACAGCTGGTCTCACATACCAGCACAAAGGAGTTTGTCTCACACACATTGGAACACAAAGACAAAATTTGTCTTTTGTAGGGCCAGCAAGCCATATCACTCTGCAACTCACAACTGGCAGCCCACTGAAGCTCAGCAGGTGTGAGCCTGGTCAGTACCTGGAGGGGAGACCTCCTGGGAAAAACTAAGGTTTCTGCTGGAAGAGGTGTTAGTGGGGCCAGCAGGTGGCGCTCACCCTGTGGTCTGTGTGGGTCTGAATGCCCTAGTATAGTGACAGGGACACTATACTGTAAACAGGCGCCGTCCTTCAGATGAGACGTAAAACCGAGGTCCTGACATTAAAAATCCCAGGGCTTTTCTCGAAAAGAGTAGGGCTGTAACCCCTGACCAGATTTCCCATTGGCTCTTACCAATCACGGCCTCCTAACAATCCCCATCTATGAATTGGCTTCATTACTCTGCTCTCCTCCCCACTGAAAGCTGGTGTGTGGTGAGCGTTCTGGCGCACTATGGCTGCCGTCGCATCATCCAGGTGGATGCTGCACATTGGTGGAGGGGAGTCCCCATTACCTGTAAAGTACTTTGAGTGGAGTGTCCAGAAAAGTGCTATATAAGTGTAAGAAAATGTTATTATTATTATTATTAAAATTGCAAATCTTGTTGGGAATGGTTATAGATCGCAGACTGGGTCAGAAACAATCCTGTACAGCAGCAAAGTCAATCGTTCCTGCCATGCTCTGAACAAACCAATTGGCGCTGGATGTGATCATTGCATCAATCAGCTACAAAAAAAAACCCCAACTGACATGGAAATGCTTAATGGCTTCCTCTCGTTTGTAAATGTTCTGAGAACAAGCCCCTCTTTCCAGCCCAGAGCAGACTGTTCCTGTATTCTTTATCGGCTTAGTAGTCTAGGAAATAGAATTCACCCAACAACAAAACTCAAATAATAAAATAATCTAATCTGATGCTCTGTTGTTTTAGCAACTGAACTGGCTCAAAATAAATCCATCCATTTTCCTACCATGTTAGCCAAAACAGAGCAGCAGAGGAGCCAGAGCCTGTCCTGGCAGACAACAGACACAAGGCAGGATACACCCTGGGCAGGACACCAGTCCATCGCAGGGCAGACACACACACTCACACCAGAGTGTGGGAGGAAACTGGAGCACCTGGGGAAACCCCATGCAAACACGGGGAGAACATAAAAACTCCATACAGATAGCACCCCAGGAATTCAGCCCAGGGCCCCAGAGCTCCGAGGCAGATATACTAACCACTACTGCGCTGTGCCGCCCTCACAGTGACTCAAAATACTGTTCACAAATGTGAGAACCTGGTGGATGATTAAGGGAATTTTATATTGCCAGAAGAAAGAAAGGAGGTTTGTCAGTCTTTGTAACCGGGAATCTTTGCTTTAAGAGTGTTATAATGCAAGCACCAGGTGAATTATTATACAAAAGAGTATTATTTTTCCAGGTAACAGTGCTTGCTCAGGCAGAGAGCAATAGGAGCTACAGCTGGCAGTACCAAATGACTTGACAGCTTGATTCCCAGTTTGTCTGGAGACTAAAGCAGTCAGGTTTGTTTAGTGACAGTAAGGGTCTTGAGTCGCCCATCAAAAGACCTTTGTCTGCAAATAAGGATGACTAACGATTTCAATCTCAACAAGTCAAGTGGCTTCGGAAAGCATCTCTGATGGGTTTTTACCCGTTAACAGAAATGCAGGTCGTATTGTGAGCCACTTACTCACTCTCTCTGTGTAACTACTCCCTCCACGCCCAGCCATGCCCTAGTGCCAGAAGGAGGATGGGCTTTTCAAACCCTCGTGCTCCTGCATTCGGCTATTTCAAAATGGGAATCCATAAAAAAATAAAGACTGCTTTCTGTAAAACAATCCTGTCGCAATCACACCGCAAGTCAGCTCGAAGGAAGGAGAGTTCAAGCAGCGCAGGCTTTCCAAATGAAGTTTTCACAAATCGTGAACCAAGCAAAACTGATCTGTATGCTCTAAAGCACGCTTCTTTGCCTGGATACGAGAGACAGCCTTTCCTCTCCTGCACTGGGGGTTGGTGGTGACCTCTCAGCGGGGATTCCAGACTGCTGCACTCACTTGCTTCCGAAATCCAGCAGTGGAAAAATTTCACACAGCTTAAAACACGAAGCTTGCAGTGTGTCGCGACTGCCTTTTCATACACAGTGCAGCTGAGGCGAAAACGCAGAGTAAAACTTACCAGCCTTGGTGCTCAGGAGGAACACAAACACGTCCTGGTGGCTGAAGCTCTTGATGGCGAGGTTACGCTCCTCTCCGCGCACGGACCCGTCCAGCCGCTCGTAACTGTAGCCTGTAGGGGGCGGGGAGAGGCGGCAGTGTCACGATGGCAAGCACCCTCAACACACAGAGAGAGTGGAAACCTCTGTTTCACTACTCAGGCTAGCACTTAGCAGACAGAGAAGCCAACACCACTTTTAATCAATCAATGAATTTGCCGATTAATCAATCAGTTATTCACCCAAGGGCCTCACGGACTGAGCTTTTAGTTCTCATCTTAAAGCATAACAAGGTCATTACTAAAAGTTTCTGGCAGCCCACACACAATTTGGTTAGATGTATTCACATAGACAGAGAAATTAGCCAGTTCTTGGCATCATAAAAGTATTAAGTCAAAGTTGTTGCCCACCATACAGAAGGGAATAGACACTTGAGGCTGCTGAATGGTTTGTCCTTTGCAGATATATTTTGCAATTCAATCACTGAGCTGCCCTCACCACCACACCAGAGAACAGACTTTATACATGTATCACAGGGTCATTTGTGCAGTGCACTGTCTGTGCATGCTCTGCTCAATCAGAGCTGCATGCACACGCACAATTTCCACATTTCCAGTCTATCAGGTGTCGCCACAGGAAGATGAAGCAGGCAGTAGAATCAGATATCTGACAAACAGATACAATCTCTATTTCTCTTGAAATCGAAGCCATTCTCCTTAATCAAAGCTCTGAGCCTTTAAGCTGTCAAAGTGGACCTTTAAGTTCTAACAACGTTACAATTCGCCTGAATTTTATTTTCCATACAAGAGGCAACCCTTTTGCGCACATTCCATGAAAAAGCACAGAAGATTCTCAGCATATTCTTGTCAAAAAGCCACGTGATATTGTGGACACACAATATCATGAGAATGTCTTTTATAAGCCGTTAAGTAGGCAGTTGGTTAATTATTTGTGCTATTTCCTTATTCTCTTCTTGGTTCGAATGGTCGAGAACGTAATTAGTTGTGTATAGAGTAGGGAAGACAGGGGAATACTGACTTAACACCACTGCTAATCAAAGCCTAAACTTTCTTCAACATCAGGGCCAAGGGAAGAGATATATCCTTACTGTAATAAGTAACTTGCTTTCTGTCAACTAAAGTTTTTTGGTGAAAATGTTTGTGTTGAGACAAGTCTAGAAAAACGTTCATTTCAATGCATTTCATTAGAATCAGTGGTTACCACCCACACATGTGATGGTGCCGTCAAAATTGGGGAAAAAAGAGGTAGGGGGGTTACTAGGGTGGGTCTCTTAGAAGTTGCCACCAAGTCAATGCAACACAGCCCTCTCTGATGAGCTAATTCTGGATTGATCCCTTCTCTTAGGGATGCTTAGGAAACAGTAGAGGGCCTACTGGTGGCAGCCCTTCAGAAAGATCCCAGAGCATCAGAAAACGGGAAAAACCTGTAAGAAGATTATTTGATTAATCTTAAACAAGTGGGAAGAGAGTGTAAGCCATCAGCTGGTGATGTGGTTCTGCCTTATCCTGCATTTACTTGTTTCCCATCTACCATCTGCAACTCTATGGGATCACTGAGAGCAATGGATTTATTCTGAGACACAGTCTCCTGCAGGGTGTCCCCGTGTCAATGGCACAGAACAGTACCGGGATACTTTGGGTCTTTGAACTTGCTTCTAGCAATATTGGCTGCTGCTGTAGTGATGTTGTGTAGTGTAGTGAATCCCATAGTGATTTTAGCGAGCTGCTGCAGTCTATAAGGAATGTGTAAGGTCCTGATTTACAGAGTGTTGCAGACATTAGCTCTGCCTGTTGAGTTACACTATATATCTTCGCGCATTGAGATCTGAACCGGTTGGACAGAAAAGCAGAGATGATCCAGTCTGATGCAATCTGGAACAGCTGCAAATGTAGGCTTGATAGGGACCCGTGTCAAGGCAGAGAACAGGATTGTGCTGCTACGACTAGGTGCCGAGAGAGGGGCTGATGAAGGAGCTGCACTGCGGAGCTCCTGGAATCCACCGTACCTCTGTACTCCATGTAGTCCTGCAGGATGTCCAGCATCCGTGTCATCTGAGAGAACAGCAACACTCGATGGCTCCTGGCAACCATCAAAAAACCACGACACGTTAGATGAACAAACATAAGCAAATCAGAGTCCATTCAGCCCCCGTACCTTCCTTTGTTGCTGGAATCTTACAACCTACCCAAGCCATTTCTTTGAATCAGTGTATCAGCTTTGAGAGCTCGGCTGCGTAACTGGTTTCAGACCCCCACTTGTATCCTTGTTTGGACTGCCACTGCTCGCTCTGAAAAAGCCCGCAGTGCTGACTCTGTCAGTGTTTTTGAGGATATGGACGACTCAAAATATTCAGTGCTCCTAGGCTGTTTCTACGCTGTCTGGGGAAGGGCCGCCTTTTAAGCAAAGGAAAGTAGGTGATCAGTCAGCCAGATCTTCTTGGTAGCGTGAAGAACATTCCAAGTGAGCGAGTCTTGTATTGTAAAATTTCAAGATAACATCTCTTGATTTAAATGCTATGCTTTGAACAATGTATCCTCACACTGTTTACATTTTTTTAATGGCTTCACAGTAGTTAGACAAGATACAAATTATGTGACAACATAAATATCTAAATCTTCCACATGCCACTTAATCTAGATCAGTGTTTCCTGTGTTAGAAAAAGAATTTATGCTTTTGCAACCTGCATGCAATACTCTGTCTAGATTGAATGTCTTCTGCCAGGTGTTTGGACAGTGTTGCATTTTGGCATCTCCACGATATATACTGACAAAATCTTTCATATATACTAAGAAGTGCGTTTGCCTCCTTGATGGCCCCTCAGAGTCAGCAGTACTCTTCAGGTTCAGAACAAGGAGGCAGAACACAGCAGTGAAAACACTCATTCCACCTCTTGATTCTGTCCTGGCAAGAAGATGGAAGATAGCCTGCAACAAGTGTGTTCCTTAATGCAGTCAGACTTGTATAAAGCTTACAAAATGGACATTTTATGAGGATTTGGTTATTTTCATGTAATAATTGTTACAGAGTATCCAAGGTTAACTTTTTTTGGGTTAAAATATGATAGTAGTGCCAAGTTTAATATGGTTGGACCATTAGCGATATTTTATCATCTTCTGCCTGATTTTAGAAGTATGGCATTTAACTGCTCTTTACATCAAACTTAAATCAGATGAATGTACAGGATGTTTCAAAATGGATGATAACATGATACTTCCATCACCAAGGCCCAAAAGGAACAAAAAAACAAATAAATAGTGTTACCCACACTGACCATCTCAATCCAATCAACGAAACATTTCTGGTTCAAATTCAAGAAAACAATATGAATAAATGTGACCCCCACATTTTCTGGGCTTATTTATGAGAAATTTCTGTAAGTTTACAGAACATCAGAATTAAAAAAAAAAATTACAAGTATTTGGTGTTCTGTATCATACTCCTAGACCATTTTAAAATGAAAATTAAGTTTGACACACACTACTCCTTCATCTGCTTCCTTCAGTGCTACAAAACAATTAGAAAATTACGTTGTCAATTCTCTCATAAAGCTCCCAACTCACAATTTCTGCTAACCATCTGTCACATTAACCTGACCGGCACATGAAAGCATTAAGATCATGAGAATAAAAACACAAATACCTAGGAAGCAAACAGCTTATGACGGTGAAGATGATAACAATGGGCTCTGGCACGAACCTGTGCACTGCGTGTGTAAAAGTTTAAGAATTTTGGCAGCTATTCAACTACGGTTATTGTTTCTTTTCTATCTGGACCATCTGGACTTTTTGTTTTTTTCGAATGCTTCTCTCCTGCATGGTAATTGCTTTTCATTTCCAGCACTCTGTGAAGTGGGCGTGCTCCTGGAAAGGCGCTATAGGAAAAGAATCGGCATGACGGGAGGCAGACCTTTGGTGCAGGAAGGCCAGCATGCTGTCCAGGAGATGCAGCTTCCCGCTGGCCTCGATGAGGTGGTCTCCCATCTCAAAAGGCTCCGGCTCCACCCCTGGGTACCAGGAGGAGAACCACACTTTTCCATGAGCTCATGCGCGTGACCTTAAACGTTCCATCTCTGCCAATCGACCTCACCATTTGAAACAACAGCTCGCAATCACATCCCCGTTTTACCTTCGAAACACTCTGTCCCTTGTGAATTTTAACAGATGTCCTAAATCGCATTTAACCGAAACAGTACAAGCTGAGCCAGGAAACTGGAAAACTATGGCAGAGTCATCAAAGAAGCTCATCATCATCATCATATCACTTTCAGGAACTGCTTATCCAATTCAGGGTCACAGTGGCCCAGACCCTATCCCAGGAAGCAATGGGCGCAAAGGGTAGATACATCCTGGAGGGGACGCCAGTTTATCGCAGAGCACACACAGACACAAACATGCACACACTCACACCAGGGCCAATTTTCCCAGAAGCAAATTAACCTGCCAGTATGTCTTTGCACTGTGGGAGAAAACTGGAACACCCAGAAAAAATCCATTAAAACTAGGGGAGAACATGCAGTCTCCACACAGATAGCATCCCTTGAACTGAACCCGGTACCCAATTGCCGTGCCACCCCAAAAGAAGCTTATGCAAAATGATATTGACAATAAAGGGCACAAGTCACTGTCTTTAAGGATGAAGGATGGCCCAAGCACTGGGAAGGGGCTCTTACCATCGAATAAGTATGGGTGGTTGACACACTTCCTCAGCTGCATGAGTATGTTCAATAGCCTCGTCTTGCTTCCCTGTTTGTTCTCAAATGCATCTGTAAATAAACAAACATGCCAAGCTACACTACTGATTTTACTGCAACTTTGAATTCTATATTATTAATACAGTGTCCCTGTTTTTAAAGCTGGCAGTGCCACTTATACTACTGCTCCTCCTCCTGTTACTGGAAGGTTAGGGACATGCAGTGGCTTACCCAGGTCTCTGGTGAGGATGGCCTTGTAGTACTTCTTCTGGAGAGCTGACATGCCATGATAGACTACAACCTCAGTCTTCTTGGGCAACTCTGCTGCCACCTCAGCTTTGACTCTGCGCAGCAGGAAAGGCTGCAGGACACTGTGCAGTTCACTAGCTATGATGGGAGGTGACAGAACATTGTCACTGCACTGACGTCATCATACACTGAACACACAATAACTGATATCATCACACACACTGCATGCTCAGTCACTGCGCTGATACCATCACACACACTTCACTGACGTCATCACACACTGCATGCTCAGTCACTGCATTGACGTCATCACACACTGCACGCTCAGTAACTGCATTGACGTCATCACACACTGCACGCTCAGTCACTGTTCTGACGTCATCACACACTGCATGCTCAGTCACTGCATTGACATCATCATACACTGCACGCTCAGTCACTGCTCTGACGTCATCACACACTGCACGCTCAGTCACTGCACTGACGTCATCACACACTGCACGCTCAGTCACTGCACTGACGTCATCACACACTGCACGCTCAGTCACTGCATTGAAGTCATCATACACTGCACGCTCATACACTGCACGCTCAGTCACTGCTCTGACGAC